GCATGCGTGGCATGACCATACATGCCCCCGGAAATGGGGCCAGCGAACCATGGCATGTATGTACATGCCACCCAGCATATAGTCTAGGCATGCCATGGGAAAATCAAGAAAATCAGTATGCATGCCACAAAATCTAAATATTTCTTTCCATGTTTATATGCAACTAAACTCATATTCACAAATACAAATAAAATCTGTGGTTTGGCTCCCCTTTTATAACAGAAATTATTCTGAGTAGACAGTAAAATGAAGTGGCTGGAAAAGCTATATCCATTTTGTGCAATTCTAGGCCTGTTTACCCCACCCTCATAATAGTTTCTAAATACATGTCCACCACAGTTCATGATGCTTTACAGCTATAGGAGGTGCATAAATTGGGGAGCATAACTGTATCACACACTGAATTACTGTGTGACCTCTTCTGTACATCACTGATGAACTCATGGAAACTCTTCTTAGTGTATTTTACAATTTTTGGTATAGCTCTGTGCAAGCTTGGCTTATATTAACACTGTTGCCAAATCAAAATAGAATACAAATGTCACAAAACTAGTTTGCTATTTCTGTCCTATGTTATTGCATGGTCTGTTCTACAAAACATTTTGGCTAAAGGCTGATAATTTGGATAAAGTACTCCTTGCTGTTATCCAATAGCTTTCTTCCCAACTCATACAACAAAGTGTTTGTTTACAATGCTGTTAATTAACCACAGTAGTTTAATCCATCTTAGTTTACAAACCCCTATCTTCCTCAACTTTACTTTCAAAATAACAACAATCTTAGAAAAAAAATCTTCCTCATATCAGAGTAATTATACAATAAATGCCAAATTATCACTTGCAGTTATTTTGTAATGCATTAATAATTGCAATAAGGATGAAAAGCTGCAAAATAAAAGCAGACAAAAGAAATAAAAACAAAAGGGATTTAACAGGTCGAGCTAACAAAATTATCCCTTTTGATATTCACTAATGATTATGTTTACCAAAACATAGTAATTAATTGTATATAATAATTGCAATATTCAGACATAACACCTTATTTGTTAGCCCAATAACATTTACCTCAGTCTTTAAGACCGTCATGTAACACATATGATTCCCAGTGAATATAGCTGGATAGTGACTTTAAGCTAACTTCTGAAGGAATATAACATCTCAACCACTACCACAATGGCCAAAAAAACAAACTGTCTAGCACACAACTTTGAGCAGGGTTAATGCACATGGCATGAGTGCAGAGGAAAAGGAATCTTGCTTTGTCCTGGAATGTGCACACCTTTAAGTAAGGGATTAAAATAATCTCCAAATTACTCCTGATAGTTTTGACACCTACAATTTCAACCTAACCTGATATTTTCTGTAATCTTTTGCAAGATCCAAAATCATGAGTTCTGCTCTAATACTGCTCCAAGTTGTATAACATTTTGCATTATCTGGCATATATATTTTTGCATTTCCTAAAAAAAAAAAAGACTAAAAATTAGATGCTATGATACATTATAATAACAGTATCAATATCAACAGCAATTACTAGGACCTAACTAAAAACCCATGGCCGATGAGTTAAAACCATGTCTAATAATTGTATCTCACTCTCTGATGACAAATATACTCTAATGATTTTAACATACAAAATTCTTAGGGACAATCATCAATAAACAATAAATTTATTCTCCTAGCTGTTATGTTAAATGCAAATCAAGTCCCCCGAATGATCAAAGAGCTAAATTTAGGGATTCCCATCACATCTCCTACTTTTGAACTGCCCAACAAGAAGCTTTAACAGCATGGTGTTTGAATCCACTCTCATCAGCTCTTATACGATGCCTCTTTCTCTTGAGGGTACACGGCAGGGGATCTGGTGGGGCGGGGTGTCTAGCCTCAGGGAATACTAATCAAACTTCAGATGTTCTGCTATCATATGCATTTGCTTATTCTGAAGAGAATACATGAAATTAGCTTTTTTTTTTCATAGAATGAGATGGTGCATAGGAGGCAGTCGAGAAGGTGAAGGAAAGGGAGGAGGAGGAGGAGGAGGAGGAGGAGGAGGAGGAGGAGGAGGAGGAGGAGGAGAGGAGGAGAAGAAAGAGGAGAAAGATGAGAAAGAGGAGAAAGAGGAGAAAGAGGAGAAAGAGGAGGAGGAAGAGGAGGAGAAGGAGGAGGAGGAGGAGGAGGAGGAGGAGGAGGAGGAGGAGGAGGAGGAGGAGGAGGAGGAGGAGGAGGAGAAGGAGGAGGAGGAGAAGGAGGAGGAGGAGGAGAAGGAGGAGGAGAAGGAGGAGGAGGAGGAGGAGGAGGAGGAGAAGGAGGAGGAGGAGGAGGAGGAGAACAAAAACAAGAACAAGAAGAACAATAACAACATTGAGAGGAGGAGAATGAGAAGAAGGAAAAGGAGAAAGAGAAGGAAATTAAATGCAACAGGAGGAGGAGGAGGAGGAGGAGGAGGAGGAGGAGGAGGAGGAGGAAGAGGAGGAGGAGGAGGAGGAGGAGGAGGAGGAAGAGGAGGAGGAGGAGGAGGACAAGAACAACAGGAAGAACAACAACATTGAGGAGGAGGAGAATGAGAAGAAGGAAAAGGAGAAACAGAAGGAAATTAAATGCAACAGAGCAGGGGAATGAAAGAGGAAAAAATGGAAGAGAAAAACAAGAGAAGGACAATAACAATGACAAGAAAATGGAGATGTAAGCTGGAGACTAAGATAAGAATTTGGACAAGGAAAAATGGAGATAGAAGATGAGTTGGAGGAAAATATGAAACCCGGAGGAAGAGGAAAATGAAGAGAAAAGAGGAGACCAACAAAAAGACTGAGAAGACAACAGAAAGGATACAAAAAGGAAGAACCCAAATTATGATATAAGGACGAACCCAAAAGAAAAATCAATAAGCAGCCTCTCAAAATGTCCTGCTTCAATACCAATAGAACTTTTCACAAGGTTTTTCCCACAAACAAACAAAGACCCCAACCAACATCAGGAACAAAAACACAAGAAACATTCTCTGAGGACATAAAAGGGGAATCCCAGGTGTATCTCTGTCACCACATGCTTTGCTAAATTAAAATAATCTCATCTTGTTGCAAAGTTTTTCTTACTCATATAAAACTCTTTTTAATATCAATATCTAATAGGAGTATATGGTAAAAAAGAAAAAAAAAAGGGAAAGCAAATGCAAAGGGATTCTCAAGCATGCAACTGAAGACTAACCCAAGAGAGCACTTTACCTTGAGAGACACATTGCACCATCTTACAACTGGGTTTTTCCTTAAGAACACATGAGGAATGAAGTCTCACTGTTAACTTTTACTATACGTGCGCCATATCACTACTCATCTGACTGATTGATCTGGCAAATAATACGATCACATTACACAAACTTCGTAGATCACTTGATGTTCTCCAGAGTCTATGGTTGTTAAATTGGCCTTAAAAAGTATATGGTTTTTCTTCTTAAACTGACAACTTTTCTGAATATACTGATATGTTAGCTCAGGCTCTTTTCTCAGATCTCGAACGGATCAACACTCGTTCAGTAATGCTTTTAGATTCACTCGATTCACTCTCAGCAGCACGAACACTCATTCACACGCACGGGGAAACGACGGCAGGAATTCTCCCTCCGATAATCCAGTCTTCGCCTGCCTTTCCTCTCACGTTTCTCCTTTTATTTTCTCTCTCACAACCATCTTTTATTTTCTCTCTCACAGCCAGGCCATCTTTCCACTCGCTTTTACAAGAACCAACACATTTAAAAGTTCCACTCTCGGCATGCAGCTTTCACAGGCACCATTCGCTTTTTTTCCAGATGCGAATGCCATCTCACTTTAACACAAAACACTAATCCACACACCTCTGCATCTAGACGCACTTCTCCGCACTCAGTCACTTCCAGACACTCACTCCCATAAAGATTTCCTTTTAGCACATTTTCTTTCCACTTCTCTCATGCACACAGTTGATAAATAAGGAATAATTATTGAATCTCACATAAAAGATCCTCATTCATCTCATAAACTTAAGAAAATGAGAAAAAAAATTTCACTATTCACACTCCACCTACCTAATGGAATTAACCAAAATATGTTATACTAATGAAATATAGGCCTTCCATTTTACAAAATATATTCAAAAAGCTATAATCTAACTTGGAAAAAGGTAAACAAACCTCATAAGAGTGTCTCTTTCCCTCGTGGGTCAAAATTTGGCTGTTTATGAAACCAAAATATAATTCGAAATAACACAAATGCAACTACAGTATTCATCAATAGTGACTGGCCTGTTTCCTAAAGACGGAAAAGGAAGTTCAAAGACCCTCAAGCCCCCCCAAAATCAAATTTCCAAAACCTATTTTTCAAAAAAAAAAAAAAGTACGTGGGTAGGCCTATCTCCACATTCAATAAAACCAAAAATAATATCTTTACCATCATTACTGCACAGAAGAACAAAGAGGAGGCGGAGACCCGTTCTATCGAAGAGAGACTTCGTAGGAAAATATAAATCCGGGAAAAAAAAAAAGAAAAAAAAAAGGTCGCAGGTCTCACGTGCACTTTATTTTCCACTAAGGTGAAAAGTTGCCTTCATTTGCACTAGTAATACGTGGCTATTCGAGGCGTTCTATCACTGCGACCCGCGTGGTTCAGAAGCTCAGGTCCAACTGGGAGGTTCACTTGCAAGAATGATCGGGAAAATACCGGAAAAAATCAACGCCAAGAAAACATTTCCCGACATTCCTGCGAACTCGTGCAACTCGCCCGCCATTGACTTACCTTTCTCTCTCGTCAATTCCTCGTTATTCTCTCGATCTGGGACATTCACCGGCGTTGATTCCTAGCTTACGACAACTAAGTACATCGCCCGGAAGCGCGTGCGGCCATGAAAATAGGAGAGAGAGAGGGAGAACGTGTCCCGCTGCGTTAAGGCGTTCAATCCATAGGCCATGAGAAGTTCGGTTTGAAACTGGTTCAAACCGGATCGCGTGAGGCAGCGCTCTCGCCTCTTCTGGCCCTTTATTCGCGCTTCCCGAGGCCCCGGCGCCCTTTGCGACGCGGGGGCCTGGGCTTTCGCTCCTGGCCTGGTGGGCTTCGGGCATTCTGGAGGGATAGGGGCAAGGGAGATAGGTTTAGGGACATTATTGGTGATTTTCTTTGTAAGAGGTTTCTACAGCAGAAGCATGGATCGTCTTCCCGCGTTAAATCGGCGTGGCTGATTGGGCCGCGGGGAAGCCAGCGGCCCAATCGCGCGCCGGATTACAAACCGACACGTTTTCTCTGCGCCGAGGGAGGGTGGCGCGAGTTTTCGAAAATGGAACGTGGTCTCCGGGAGGGGCGGCTGAGGCGGGCCACTTCTTAGGCCACTTACCTCGCGAGATGCCTGGCTGTCGTGGTCTGGTCTGGGTGTCCTTATTTTTATTTCGAGAGAGAAAGAGAGTGTTTGTGTGTGATTTGATGGTGGACAGTTTACGAACTTTGGGAGTGAGTCAGGTCATGAAAAAGTGCATGGAATATTTATGTGATTTTCGTATAATAGAATGTACAGCGTGGATTGCTGTTGTTGTTGGTATCTTATATTAAGCTAATAATAAATAAGTCACATTTTCGTAATAACCGAAACCAGGTGTGATATCGGATCCATAGATAAACAACTTGGTAAGACAAGAAAAAAAGAGTCCTATTTTTTTCATTTAACATGTGAAGTGCTGGGTAGTTGTTTTGTTTAGTTTTGACTGGTATGCTATCTCGTGAACATGGATAAAGCAATAAACATTAGTTGCAATTCATCCGACTTATATCAAATTGCCACATCGGTCAGTCGGTTAGCATTTATACAATGCTAAAGATTGGATTCATATTTAGATTGCGTTGCTGTGTAATGTATAGAGCCAGTTTAGGACACAATCTCCTGTCATTGTACAGACTTTTGAAATGTGTCTTCTTCTCACTTGATATTCTAATAAAGGATATATATATATTTGGTAAAGTGAATATCACTAATAACATGGATAATTTTGTTTTATTCGTGTACATGGTTCAGATAAGGTTTTTCAAAATCGCACTAGGAAATCAATCAAGGTATAATTAACCATGGTCCTAATTACTAGATAGATCATCATTCTAATTTCAGACGTGAGCTTGCAATATGACCTTGTGCGGTCACTATCACAGACCTTTTTTTATAAGCCTGTGTCAGGCAAAGTGATGATCTGCAGATTTTTTTTTCGAAGACAGCACAGGAATTTGATAAAAGGATTGTCGTTAGAAATAAAGAAAAAGTAATTCAAATGTGTGACGAGTCGTTGTATTATTTGTATATATAACTCAAAGAGCCCTGTCCCATGTATACAAAGGATGCTTATCATTTATCCCTGGAACAGCAGTTTCCTATCCAAGAAAAAAAGGAGCTAAAATATAATAGGTGCAACTTCCTTCCGGAATGTGTGAAGAGGAGGAGCGAGATAATTCCTCTTGGAACCGCAGGCATATATATGTTGCCAATCGTTAGACTGAAGTTTAAGTGATGCATATATATTTGTTTTAATTCTAAATATGGATGCGCCCCGAGATACGCTGATGGGAGAATTACATTAGCTTCCCTGCCTAGAATAACGTTAGCATCATAGAAAATGTGAAAATCCGAAACAAATGACGTCATACTTATATGACGTAAGCGGGCGGAGGCACAACTGAACTATTGTGTTGCAATGTATTGCTACATTTTGACATAAGATTTGACGTCGGGTAAAGTAATTTAGAAACTGGGATTACTTCAAGTGTAAAATACAAAAAAAATCTGGATATCTTTATATAACTTTTAACTGAATGACCGGTTACTATGGATAAATAAATACATTTATTCCTATTAACTGGCAACGTTTTTGAAGGGGCGGTGGGCAAAGAGGAAAATGTTGCAACAATCACTGGAAAATATCACTTCCGGCGCATGCTTCATGCGATGTAAACGAAAGCACATCGAAACTTAAAGGTCATATGATGCCCGTTGTGAGACATGCTCGCGTTATCCGACTTCGCGAGCCAAACGTTCAGTCTGCTTCATCTAGAAGGATCGCCGAACACACGCATAAAATCGGGGGCTGATTCCTTCAGTAAGATACAGGTGTACTTCCAAGCCGGCCACGATGGAAGTGGAGCAAACCCCAGCTTCGCTCCCTTGCCTCCCTCTCTTGTTACAGGAAGAGCTTGTCCAATGAAATCATCCTTGGTTCCATACTGACAGTCATCCGCATTACGGGCAATCGATGAGATTTGCCCAGCGTTTTCATCACTGATATATATAAATATATATATATATATATATATATATATATATATATATATATATATATATATATATATATTTAGTTCAGCTTGTAATCAGTTGGTGCGAAGCTAATAAAAGTAAACTACGAAGATCCTTTACATTATGCATAGTATAAAAGCTAACTGCATAAAAAGTTGGCTTTTTGGGTAAGGTTAGTTCCCGAACACGAAACAAAGCACTGCATAAATTCTTGCCCAAGGAGACGACAGGATGTCGGTACAAAGCAGAGGGGGGAGGGGGAGGGAGTTAGCCCCTCGCACTTATGCTTGCTCAGGATAAAGGAGCTAGCTGGGGCGCACGCAGGAGACATGGGCGTCGCCGACACTTTACAGGATTAGGATAAAGGTCATACAGTGCTGAGCGCTCGCCCACGACATCCTGCCGGGCATAGGCGCTCTTATCGTAGGTCTCCTTGCGTGAAGAGTGTAATTATGATTTCCAAGTGCGCAGGGATCGGCCACAAGGTACCTCATGGCCCCGCGGAAAGGTGGTGCGTGTACGCTCAGCCCAGTAAAACGCCACGCGGGGGGAGGGGGTAACCGGATACAGGTATTGATTGAGCTTACGACACTCCATGTGATGACGCAACCCGTGGACAGTGTTCTAAGTGACTGGCAGGGCATTTTGCTGGAAAATAATGAATCTGAAACGGACTAGCTGAGTGAATGAATGCACGCATGTTTTGTTAAGGCTCATCCAGATGCTTTCCGGCTGCGAAATGGAGCAGAATCGCATGAAACGGCAGGGGAGCAGATATGTAGAATGAAAAAGACTATGCAAACGCCAGACTAACGACGGAAATAATGAAAAAAAATCAGAAACATCTCACCTGGGCGGCATCACCAACTCGCTCAAAGGTTAAACTGTTAAGTAAAAATGCACCAGACAACTCCCGTCCTTCCTCCACCCCCCTTTTCTCCCGCATTGCCTCTCCCTCTTCCTCTCCCTCCCCCCTTTCTCCGCCCCACTGGCGCAGGTGAGTAAATAAGCCGGATTCAGGTGGAGTCTGAACCCCTTCCACCCAGCTTGAATCTTGTCTTCAAAAAGGTGACATTTTTCCCTCTTTTTTCACGGGAAGACCTTCCTGAAGTCCCAGAGACGAGGAGAGACGGAGCAGGACGTGACGCAGCAGCCGAGGCGGACACCCGGCCTCCGCTCTCTGACCCCCTCTTACCCCCCTTTCCCTCCTCCCCTGCGCTCCTCCTCTCTGCCCTCCCCCGCCACACCCACCTAGCTCTCCTGTCTTCCTCCCCAAACTCGATCTCATGCCGCGCTCCCCCATTCTTCCTCCTCCCCATACTCTCTCTCTCTCTCTCTCTCTCTCTCTCTCTCTCTCTCTCTCTCTCTCTCTCTCTCTCTCTCTCTCTCTCTCTCTCTCTCCTCTCCCTCCCTCTCCCTCTCCCTCTCCCTCTCCCTCTCCCTCTCCCTCTCCCTCTCTTTCTACACCCTTCCCTTCCACTCGACAGGACACGCCGTTCGTATTTTCCTGTTCTGACTTTTTCCTCGTTTGCGTTGTGTCCGCTTCTCCCGCCTCTCCTCCCCTTCCCTTTTTCACATCTCGTCATCCGGTATTTACGAGTAAAAATAGAAACATGAATATGACAGTGAAAAACGATACATTGTGTTAAAACTACAGAAGTGCGTAGAACGTTTCGGTTAAAACTAGAATCTTAATCAGGTGTGTGTCAGGAGACGCTTTCATATTTTCCTTTCCACCCACATCTCTTCGTCAGTTACAAGAAGATTATTCTCCACAATGGAGTAATTATTCATTACAATTAAGTTATTAGGTGTTCAACATCAAGAAGTTTGTAAAACAAACTGAAAATAATTGTCTCTTTGAAATAAATATCTCTCTATTTATCTGCCACGTATTATCAACCATTGCTTCTATTTCCATCTCTCTCCTTTTCTCTAACTCTTATTCGATCTCAATTTCATATAGGCGAGTGTACGTTCGTGCACCTAGGCGTAAGGGTGCAATGACTCGGTATACTAGCCGGGGCCACAGCTGGAAGTGTCTGGATACGTGCGACGCTCTCTTGTACAGTCCGAGAAAAACTTGCTGGCGTTTGTTGGGACACCCGTAAATGTTCCATTTCTTCGTATTCTTTCTTATTATCACCTTCGAATTATTCCGATAAGAACCCTGTGATTGCAATGCGTATTTGATGTGAAGTTAATAAGAATAATGACAGTAACTGGCAACTCGACATGAATGGAACATTGCTTAAGATAACACTCATAAGGGAAGGATTGAGAAAGGTTGGGAGACAGAGGAATATGTTGAAACTGAATCAGATACTAGAGAAGAGGGTAATAAAAAGATAAAGGGGAAGGAGTATTACGATAAAGATGGAGAACTACACGAATAAAGAGAAACCCGAACATTAAAAAAG